AAAAAAAATTTTTTTTTTTTGTAAATCACATTTTTGGATGTTACATAAGCTATACTCACAAAAAATTCCATCAGTTTGGGAAAATGCGTATTATATTTATATATATATAAAGCTCAAAAAGTTTTGAAATACATCTTATTAAATTTTCAGCCAATATGTCAGAGAACTAATTACCTTGAGATTGTTGCGGGGTCCTTAATTCAATATATGGACAACTTTATTAATTAATAAAATTGGCGAATGACCTGTTATATGTTGAGTTTGATAAGCATCTGTACCATCTCTCGTAACAGCAGCCAATACTTCTGGCGCCATCGAAGTCAGTCGATTATTCCTCAAGTCCAAAGTCAAATACCGGACATCGGGTAAATATTTCAACAGACCATCCGGAAACTTGCTGACCATTGTTCCACTTATGCGTATAATAAGTTCATGCGTTTGAAGTCCGGCAAATGCGTCGGGTAGTATCTTTTTCAAGTTCTGCCCATTGATGACGAGTTCTCGTATCTTGGTTCCAAATGCCCTCTGGACTTGATGAGACAAGATGGACTCTTCTATGTTGATGACCACTTTCTTGAGTGCCGATGCTTGGGAAAGGAGTTCTTGGAGGCGGAAGGAACGAACGGAAGCATAGGAATCTGTTTTGATTGAGGTTAGGAATCTGCAAATAGAAATGCAATTGGTAAGATTAACGCTAATAAAGTGATCCCGAGAAGCGGTGTTTCAGGGGATAGAGAGCTTGCCTCTTAATCAGGTGACCCAGGTCCGAATTCTAGCGATTGCAGATCGATACGAATTCAGCACCCGGCTAACATCGACATAGTACTGATGTAAAAATATCCTCAGTGGTAGACACATTATCGGTTAGAATTCCTTTGCAGTCGGGCTAATCATAAGAAGTTTTCGTGTTTTTCCTCTCCATGTAACGCAAATGCGGATTAATTCCATCAAAAAGTTCTCCATGAAGGCAAATTTAGCCTAATTCCTTATCCAGGAGTTCCCTTGTCTACTGGATTGGGTGCAAATTTACAATACAGAGTTGAACATTGGTAATCGTAAACTCAAAATTGGGCTGGTTGTTCAACGACGGTAATAAAATAAAATAAAGTGACCCAGAAGAAAAAAGAGATCGCCCTTATCAAATTGCATTCAAATAAAAGGATTTTGAGGAATTCAGCACCATTTTAATGACTTGAAAGAGTGGACGGAAATATGATAGTTAATTTGTGCTAACTTTGAATTAAATTTTAAATCGGACACAAAACATACTTTCTATGAATAAGCATATCTGTTTTTCGTAGGATTCTAATTTTTCATCATTAAAATATGAATCGTAGCCACAATATGGTTCAATATTTTAACCAGGAGAATCGTTGCGAGTTTAAAGTCTACCCTTTATACTTGTTTTATTTTTTATTAATTGGTAATTATTAATTAATTATTAATCATAATGCAGTATACTTCTTCAATATGCCGGTAAAATGCAATAAGCTTTAGCGAATAAGGCTTATAGTCTTAACGAATGTATTAAGCCTTGGCTTAGCGTTTGAATAATCTCGTTCATATTTTTCATTAGTTTTAAGGCTGATTGTAATAAGCCTAAATTATAAGGTTGAGTAGGAGAATTTCCAGATTAGCTTGGCAATACAATGAAGATATTTACATAAAGAGCTGGAATTTTTCATTAGATTACGACACACAGATCAGAATCTTTGTTGATAGTTTTGAGTAGGGAGAGTCGGGTAGCCACACCCACTTAAGGAGTATTGCTTATATTTCTGTATAATATTGAGTAATAATCAATATTTTTGTACGTTTCTATTGTTTTATCATCTAATTAAATAATGCAAAAAGAATAAACCAAAAAAAATAGTTTAACTTAAAAAAATAGAAATTTAAAAAAACATGTTTTTCAGCTCTTTTCAAAATTTGTCGGGTAGCCTCGCCCAGTTGCAAAAATCATGTTTTTTTACTGTTTTTTCAGGTGTAAATGAAAATGACCAATGTATTGACAATAGATAAACCTCATTTATCATTTTTATCACAAAATTCAACCGATTTTTCTTAATTTCATGACTACTGTATTCAACATATTTTCAAAACTATTATTTACCATGTTACCAGCTGCATAAATACTTGAAACTTTGAAAATAATATTTTTTTTAATATAACAATTAATGTCCGATGGGCCATTGACTTGAAAAATATTCTATATACATGAAATTGACAGTGGGCGGGGGTACCCGACACTCCCCTAAATATAAAGTAAAGTCAATCAAAATACAATAGTGTTTAAAGTAAACCATTAACTAAAACCATTCTACCAGAAAAGGATGGAGAAAACCGGTTCCTGACAAAAGTATTCCAATCCCACTACAGACAAAACATATTTCTGATGATTTAAATCCCTGCTTTGCCCTAATTTACCTCGTTAATAATTAGTTCAAGGTAGAAAATAAGTTTTTTCTCTAATTTATATATATTTTTTCACTGACAAGGGAAACTAGGGAAGTGTGACTCGTCAATTTTGAAATAAACTAGTAGGATGTATGCCTTATGAAGAATAATTTTAGGGGGCAACATTCGTTTCGGCCCATAGAGGGTCCTATGAGAGATAAAAAATAATTAAGTATGTAGAAAAATCGGTATTTCATTACTTCAATGCAGACTATTAGTTATTGTAATTATCTCATACTCCAATTAATTTTGTGCTACTTTCACGTACTATATAATGCATATTTATTGTCAAAATTGATTTCGAAAATTTTATATATCTGTAGTTTTTCAGAAGAAAAAAAATTGGCATTTTAAAAAAAAATAAATTTGGCATCAAATTTTTTAAATTTTTTTTTTCAAAAAATTTTCCAATATTAAAACTAGTAAACAGTAATAAATTTCATTTATATGAGAGTCGAAATATAATACGCATTTTCCCAAACTGATGGAATTTTTTCATATTTAATGTGTATCCAAAAATGTGATTTAAAAAAAAAAATTTTTTTTTTCATATTGTTAGATCTTGCAAAAAAATCTGAAATAATTTATGTGATTGCATAAAATTAAATTGCATTTATAAAAATGTTTTCAAATTTGTTTGGCGGGAAATTTGAACTTAAAAAATGTTTAATATTTCAATTCGATTTTTTTCATAAAAGATCAACTGTACTGTATACACAAAATTTGAAGTGATATGTCACTTTAAGTGGAAAATCCGTTGATATCTATGTCCTGTGAATTGTTCAATATTTTGTCAAAACATTGCTATCTTTATAATATTATTTTTATATCTGATATCCTAGCTAATTTTTGAAATATTTAACTTTAAAAGTTGGCATTAGCTAGGATATCAGGTATAAAGATAATTGTATGAATAATATTTCAAAAATAGCAATGTTTTGACAAAATATTGAACAATTCACAGGACAATTTTTTTTAATAATATTTTAATTTTTTGGCAAAAAATTTAAATTTTTTTGAAACTTATTTTTTTTTCATTTTTTTACCAGTTGTGCAATAAAAAAAATTAAGAAAAAAAATGTGTCTATTAAAGCGACAAATACTTACAAATTTTGTTTATATAGTACGGTTGACCTTTCAAGAAAAAAAGAAAATCATTGAAAACTGAAATATTTTTTTAAGTTCAAATTTCCCGCCAAACAAATTTGAAAACATTTTTATAAATGCAATTTAATTTTATGCAATCACATAAATTATTTCAGATTTTTTTGCAAGATCTAACAATATGAAAAAAAAAAAAATTTATAAATCACATTTTTGGATACACATTAAATATGAAAAAATTCCATCAGTTTGGGAAAATGCGTATTATATTTCGACTCTCATATAAATGAAATTTATTACTGTTTACTAGTTTTAATATTGGAAAATTTTTTGAAAAAAAAATTTCAAAAATTTGATGCCAAATTTTTTTTTTTTTTAAAAATGCCAATTTTTTAAATTTTTTTTTCTGAAAAACTACAGATATATAAAATTTTCGAAATCAATTTTGACAATAAATATGCATTATATAGTACGTGAAAGTACCATAAAATTAATTGGAGTATAAGATAATTGCAATAACTAATAGTCTGCATTGAAGTAATGAAATGCCGATTTTTCTACATACTTAATTATTTTTTATCTCTCATAGGACCCTCTATGGGCCAAAACGAATGTTGCCCCCTAAAATTGTTCCTCATAAGGCATACATCCCACTAGTTTATTTCAAAATTGGCGAGTCACACTTCCCTAGTTTCCCTTGTGAGTGTAAGCTTTAAAAGTAACCGCTACAGAATCACCTGCATAACGCCCCCTATAGTTAAGTTTTAGAAAGTGTTCCAAAAATAGTCGGCTTTTAAAATGTATTTAAGGAAATCTTCAGGTGTGAACAATTATTTACGTTTAAATAATAACTTACGTTTAAAATAAATAATAATTACATTCGTGAACTAATCAGTCATTTAAAAATAAAACACTAATTATAAATTTGTATCCATTCAATCAAAATGTTTAGTAAATAGCTGAGAATAATTAAAACAAATATTACTTAAAGTACTTTCACTTTACTTTTCTATCTGTATAAGAGAATCAATAAAATTATTCCATATTTTCGTTACTGTTCGTTAGATATTAATACAATAAAGAGTATTAGTATTTTTCATGAGTTTTAATTAATCTATAACAATTGCCAGATTCAAAAAAAATACTGTTGGTTTTATGTCGTTGTTAACTTCATTTGTGAAAATGAATTGTAGGAGATTTATCTAATTAACTACCTTCAAATAATTTTGATTGCATTTTATTTGAATACAAATTCGAGAAAATTTTCATTCAAACAGTCCATGCTTTTCTTCTAGTAATTCTACGAAATTGCTTCCATGCCTGGATATCGCGAGAAAAAGTTACTAAAGAGTAATTTAATTGAAAGATAAAAGCAAAAGCGCTGATCTGCATTGGTAATTAAAAGGGATTCAATTAAAAATAAAACGTTTAAATGAGAAAACAGTTTCAATAAAACTACTTTGTACTTTTGTCTTTAAAATTAAATATGTTACCCCTGTCGCATTTCTGTCAAACGCAAAAAGAAATTTAAGGGGAAAAAATTTAGCACATTTTAAGAAGAAAAAAAAACGTTATAGATGTGAACATTAAATTTTGAGTTATTTTTGTCAAATTTGTATATTGTTTCATTTTTTTTGGTACCACGAAAGCAGCGAAAACTATTCGAAAGTCAATTAGTATTAGTAGTAGTAGTATTAGTATTTTTTTTCAGCTACGTATTTCTATATATGAATGTGTGTACAGTGCACCAAAAAAAGGATCACCGAGAAAAACTCTTAATTTAATGATCGTAACTTCATGTTCTAGAACTAATTCTCAATGAGAGGGTGACGTCAAATATACTAATTAATTCGTTCAGACAATAATTTAAGTTACAAAATCAGGCACAAAAACGCACTTTCTCTTAACAAACATGCCCTTTTTTCAACGGATTTAAATTTCTGACCCCCAAAATATGGAGGGTAACCGTAATTTTGGAAATATGGTCTTCATAGTTTGGTCAGGAGAGCGATCCCAAGTTTGGATCCCTTAATGTTAATTTTACGTATTGCGCATTTCACCTTATCTGGGGAATTTCTTAAGGAAATTTAAAAAAATTTG